GAAGAGGCCGCGGCTTTGTCCGAAGAAACGAGCCAAAAGGCCGAGTTTTTAGTTAGGACTAGGGCTCGCGATATCGCTGAAGCCGAACACAACGCTCGAGAAGAAATAAGGAGCTTTGGTAGACAACTTATTCAGTCCCTCGTGAAGTTTATCAAAGATGAAGAGGTCTGGACTAAACTTCAAACCGATCGAGCCGAGCTGAAGAGTAACTTAGACCTGATTGGGGAACTAGAAAATGGAAGAGCTTTGTTCGAGAACGAGAGGAGGGAAGTTTCCGCTGAACTCGCTGTAGTTGAATCCGAGTTATCCTCGGCTTCCCGACCTACTCTAGATCTGAAACAATTTTCTTTGGCATTTGGAGAATCCTCCTCCCAATTCGAGACAGGCGAAGGTTCTCGACAGAATGAGGGTTCTCCAGATGTAGATGAACGTTCCTAAAGAATCATTTTGTTGGGTTCATGAGAACTGCTCCGTTTGAAAGAAATATTTTGTTTATTTAGTGTGTTGGAACAAAGTCAAGTATGTGTACTTGCATATGATTTTTTTTATTTAAGTAAAACGTTTGGATGCGATTCTAGGTTTGCAAGTCCTAGCCCACCAAAGAGGTTTTATGAATTTTGAGAGATGAGCTGATCAGGCTCACTTGCCTTTTTTAAAGAAAAAACCTTAAAAAGTATTTTTCCTCGGTCTCTCGGGAGCGAGGATGGAGCTCGGCTTAAGCTTCTTATCAAGGGATAAGACTTTTATAATTCATGAGAATTTTTGTCGTAAAGACGATTAGGCGATGGTTTTGATCATAGCCTGAAAATGGCCTTAAGCGTGTTGGGCCATGTTTTAAATGGACTTGAAGCCTGTTACATTTTATGGGGAGTCCGAGTACCTTTTTTTTTAAAAGAATTCTGAAGGACTGTCACAATTCATTGTAAGAGAAACGGGACTATGCCGCTGTCCTCTTTTAGATCCAGCTCAAGAATAACAACCTCGAACGGGGATCCATTGTTTGAAGCCGAAGACGGATTCTCTCCAAAGGGAGTTATTCATCCTACGTTTTTCTATTTTCGAACAGGGAAAGAAAGGGTCAAATGTTATGATTTCCTGGAAAATGTTTCCCTTCTAATTTTTAGTCTTTTTCAAAAGAATGTATATTTTTTTTCAGATAGTTGACAAAATGTTTGTTCAACAGATCGTCGGGAGGCATAAAGCTTTATGTGACAAGAGACAAAGAATCGGAAGGAGGCGCTGTGCCCTTGATGGGCGCATAAAGAGGATGGAAAGAGAGATCCTTCGCCTGGAATCTGAACCGCATGAATGGGAGAGGAACGGTTTAGACATCGTGGCCATCATTCCTACTTGTCTCCGAAGATTCCTCCGCATGCTGGATAAATTATCTCATCTATCCTTGGCAACCAGCGATGGGTCCTCTTTTGTTTCATGTTCTTCAGAGTTTCGGAGATTTCCGATGTTAAGGACTGAAGAGAATGAAGAACCGGAGACGAAAGCTATCGATGATTTCTCTGGTCTCCTCGACTTATCTTCTGACGAGGGATTATCCTCGGAAAGCTGTTCGGGATCCTCCACCTCGCTGGAATCATTATCGGGCGAAGACTTTTGATCGAACATCCCCTTATTTTTGTTTGTAAAATGTCACTGGGCTAGCGGCCCAACAACATTAATCATATTTCCCCTTTTGCTTTAAATTTACCGATTTATTTGAATCTCATTTAATGCGATTAATCTAGGGAATATAATTAGCAATTAACTCAATTACATTTTCCATGAAGGTAGTAATTTCAGATTTGGGAAATCGTCAATTAACCCTCTTAAATGTGGTTGAGTATTTTTCGAGTATAAAGTGGGTGTAGTTTATCATTGAGTTTTATCAACAATAGTTCTACAAAAATGGTCGAGGAAGGTAATTCTTCAGAGAATCCCTCTGACTTATTCGGAATGATAAGTGATGATCTTTCGGGAGCGCCAGACATCGAGCTTATAAAAACGGGAGGAACTGGCGAACCGGAAGAGTCACGAATATTGAGGAGGGAAACCAGCATTCAGGTTCCGATCGTATTAATCGAGAGATTATCAGCTCAAGATCGTGTCAAGGCTGAGGAATTTATTAACAAGGTATTGTTTTCTCCAGTGTTTTTGACTACTTTTGTCATTTCTAAACGAAGCGTTTTATTTTCTTCAGCTCATCACTCGGCACGACGAGCTCGAAGATGAGAAAAAAGAGATTAGGAAAAGGAGAAAGGAACTAGAGAAGCGTCGCCTCGATATTGCTCGCGAGCTTCATCGCCTCGAAACTCATCCTTCCGATTGGATCGAGATAGGACTCCAGGAGTACGAAAACATGCCAGGTTGTATTATGAGCATCGTTGACCTTGCAGGCCAAGGAGCTGAGCTATTCCATAACCCAAGACGCTTATAGATCTGGTTTTTGCTTAGCTAGAAATATTTCTTTATACATTGTTCGCAACGTATTTTTATATTCATGCCCGAGGATAAAAACAAGACTCCATGATTGGAATAATATTTTTATTTTTATAGCTGGACTCGTTTTTAGCGAGCTGCCTACGTACCCATAATAGGATCAAGCCAAATCGTAGTTCGAATATGTTTATTTTAGCAATAGAACTTTTTCAAGTTGATGATGTTCCAAGATCTTTGAACAGGATTTCCGTCAAGGTCTATTAAACGGTATACACCATTTCGGACTTTTTCTGTGATTTGATAAGGGCCTTCCCAGTTAATACCGAGTTTTCCAGCTCCTTCTTCTTTTGTGTTATCGAACACCCGTCTTAAAACAAAGTCTCCTACATTTAAAGGTCTGTTTTTCAACTTTGAGTTATAGTATCGAGCGGTCAACTGCTGATAGTTCTGAAGTCGAATAAGGGATTGGTCTCGCCTTTCATCAATTGTATCGAGAACGTCTTCAGATAACTTAGAATTTAGTTCTTCGTTATGCGGAGCTTCACTTCGGCGTAAACCGGGAACGTTCAGCTTGGCTGGGACTACTGCTTCCATCCCATAAACTAATGAGAATGGAGTTTCTCCCGTTGCTCGCCTCGGGGTTGTTCGATAAGCCCACAACACAGGTTGCAGCTCGTCATACCACCCACCTTTTCGAGCACTCAAACGGTTTTTAAGATTGCTGAGAATGGTTTTATTGGAAGCTTCCGCTTGCCCATTTCCTTGAGGATACCTCGGCGTTGAGTAGCTAAGTTTTATTCCCCAAGCGGAACAAAAATCTTCAAAGTCATTTGAAATGAATTGAGGACCATTGTCCGTTACAATTTCGTAGGGAACTCCATAGCGACAAATAATGTGTTTCCACAAGAATGTCTTTACCATAGAATCTTTTATGTTTATGTAAGCTTCAGCTTCAATCCATTTGGAAAAATAGTCCGTTAGAACTAATAAGTATTGGACGCCTCGTGTTGAACGATGCATCGGACCAACTATATCCATTGACCATCTCATGAAAGGGTACAAGAAAACCTGCGTTTAGCAACTAACCTTTGCGACCAAAATAATAGTCGCAAATTTGTGCGACTATTCTGTGACTCTTTAACGACTATTTACCGACCAAAATATTTACCGATGGAATATAGTCGCAATTCCGCGACTAAACGAAATAGTCTGTAATTGGTCGTTCATTAGCGACGGTTTTAAGACCGATTACAGACTAATTTGTTTTAGTCGCAAATGGGTGGCCGATGTGCGACTGATGTGCGACTCGGTTTTTGGTCTGAAACTATCGTCGCAATTGAGTCTCAAAAGAGCGACTAGTTAACAACCACCTGTTATAGTTACACTTTAGTTGCAAATTAGTTGGAAAGAGTTGGCTCAAAACACGTTGAAATGCAGAGAAAGCGACCGGGTTGCGACTAGCACCTGAAGATTTTGCGACTGACACCTGAGAAAGCGACCGGTTTGCGACTATTTACCAACTATCGATTTTTGTTTTTACAAATTTCACATTTTAAATTTGTTTACATATTAAGTTAAACATTTCTACACTAATTTGATGTTACTTAGTAATAAAAACTTAACCAAAGTCATATATATTGATGTTTACAAACAAAACATTCAAAACTACCAAATCTCTTTGTCTTGTTACATTACTCTTATGAGTAATGTTTAGGGATTTAGTAAAATATCTATATTACTTGAGTTTTGCAAAGTTTTTCAACCTTAAACTAATATATGTCCTCTATAACACTAATATGAGTGTTTGTGAGTGATATATATCACCCTTTTGGATCACAATATGTAGATTTCTAAATTTTGTCTTGTGACTAATAGATAACAGTCACAAAACAGTCGCAAAAGTGCCACCATTTTGTAACCATTGTTCATTTAGCGACTATTTTGCGACATATATTGCAACTATTTGCCGACCAATGTTGCGACTATTTTGGTACTAATTGTGAAATTTCTAAGATTTTTGCTAAGTGTTTGGTCGAACTTATACCAATGATATATTTTTAAAGGAAAAAAAAACAATTTACTAATAAAATTAAATCCCTAATTATACCAACAATTCAAATTTGTGCTAATTATATATCTTACTTATGCTCATAATTTATATTTAAATTTTTGCTAATAATATATATAAATTTGTGCTAATTATATATTTTACTTATGCTTATAATTTATATGTCAAATTTGAAAACAAAATATTATTATTAGTAGGTTTAACTAAAATTGCGTCTGAAAAGCGACTAAAATGCGACTATATTCAAAATAATTGGGCTAATTTAAACCAAAATATTTCGGCCCATTAAGAAACCCACTAAACTAACCCTAATTTTCTCGAGAAAGAGGGATAGATCTCTTCTTCTTCTCCGTCAAAACCCTAATCTTACTAGCATCCTCTCCATCTCTCTTCTTCTTCTTCGAATCCTCTCCATTTCTTTTTTCCTTCTCCGTCAAAACCCTAATCCTATTTCGAATCCTCACCATCTCTCTTCTTCTTCTCGGAATCCTCTAAAATCACTTCGCGAATCTTCCCAACACGATGACTGGTCGAGGACGGAGGAGAAGAAATGTTCCCAACGCTTCTCAGAGAGCTCCTGATACGTCTATTGCTCCGAAAAGACCCACAACTCTACCTCCTCAATACGATTTCACACCGCCGGCGGTCCCAGATCCTCGGGTTCAGCCGCCAGTACAGCAGCCTCGCATTGTTCCCCAACATTCAACCTCTGCAGTACATGTCCGGGACTATCTACCCCCACAACAGCTGTTCGTGAACTCTCAGTCTCAGAGTCAACCGTGACAGCGTCAAGCATCAGAAGAAGTCCGTCAACCGACTCCACAACAACCTACTCCGCATCAACCGCATCCAGAAGATGAGGCTCCACCGTCTCCACATTCACATCTGAACTCTGATGGTCCGAATGTGGGTCATAGTCAGCCTTATTCTTCTCAAGGAAATAACTTCATGGAGTTTTCTCCAATGTTGCCGGAGCTCGAGGAAGAAACGCTACAGGCTCTGAATGCTCTGCTTCAGGTGCCAGACCGGGATCAGTTTACCACGGTCCTCTCTCCAACACCGAGAGAAAACACCACTTGGTCTGAATTCTTTCTCTATTGATAAACGTATCAATTGTGTTCCTTTTCATAGTTAAAGTGTCTGAGTATAGGTTGATGTCTGATTGTAGTATAGGTTGATGTTTGATTGTAGTATTGGTTGATGTCTGATTGTAGTATAGGTTGATGTTTGATTGTAGTATTGGTTGATGTCTGATTGTAGTATAGGTTGATGTCTAAACGTATCACTTCTTTCTCTATTGTCTTAGTTTGATATTTTAATATATGGCTTTGCTTGTGACATGATCAGTAGCTAATCAGTACACTCTAACATTGAAAGTATGTAATAAATTGTTTCTGGTTTGCTTTTTTTTTGGTTGCTTCTGGTATGCTTTTCAATTTTAGAGTGTGTGATTATTGGCCAGCTTTTTTTGTTGCTTCTGGTTTGCTTTTCAATGTTGTCTTAGTTCAATGATATATTTCATGCATTTGAGTATGTTCAAAGAAGTTTTTACCAAGTCTGAGTGTAGACACTTTGCTTAATGTCTTAGGTATTTCTGGTTTACTTTGTTTTTGAGTATTTGATACTATTAACTTTTCTACTTGTTTACAAGTGGTGCAGGTTTACTCTTGATGTTAAATCAAGACTGGTTCGGAAGATTACTAAAATTTTTAAAAACAAATTCGATGGTCCCTACTATAGCTAGACTTGTGTGCCGCGTGAGAGACAAGAAAGATACTTCATCGAGTTCGCGGTACATTATTCTGTCCTATATCCTTCACATCTAAAGATTATTTTTGTTGTTTCACAAACTCTGGTCTTCATGTCTTTGTGTTGTAGAAAACCCACACCTGGGATCCCTTGATAACAGGGACAGTTCAATGGTGGTTCGAGGAAATCTGTCAACGCCGGATGAAGAATATGGTGAGCTGCAGTCCAACCAGCAGGACACACCACTGGAACCACACCAACCTCTCCTCTATCTAACACCGCCTCAAATCATTCAACTTGATTTTAGTTTCCTTTCGTCTGTGTATGTGAACTTATTAGGATATGTTATGCTTTGATTAGGATAGTTTTTGAATGGTTTGGAATGGTACTTGATTGATATTTGAATGGTTTTTGAATGCATTTGCTTTTGAAATGGACAGATTTCGGACTAATAAGATGTAACCATTATGTGACCAAAAAGTTTCAGAAATTCTGACTAGTTTGTGACTAGAACAATTAACAAATGTGACCAAACTGTGACTAAACAAATTTACAAATAACTCCAAATCTCGTATCAAAATGGTTACTAATAAAGGACTATATTGTCATCATAATAAATGAGTCCTAAAATAGTCGCAAATTTGCAACGATATTCACCTGTCACAGATTAGTCGTTAATCTGCGACGATATATTTATAGTCGCCAAATAGTCGCAAATTAGCGACTATAATGAGACAAGGAAATTTTGCGACCGTTTTTTTTGCGACTAATGGAAATAGTCGTTATTCAGTTGCAAAACCCTCTTTTGCGACCGTTTAGCGACCATTTTCACAGTCGCAAATGAAGTGTTTTCTTGTAGGTATGGGGCGAAAATAGATGGCAAAAATTCAGACGGCTGGTGAATAAGAGGAGCGTGCATCTGGCACTTTTTACACCATTTGGCGTAATCGATGTAGTCAGAAATCATAGTTGGCCAAAAATATCCTAACCGTTTGATTTTGAAAGCCATTGATCGTCCCGAAGAATGACTACCACAAAGCCCTTCGTGGACCTCGCTTGTCACTATTTCAACTTCGGGTCCGAAAATACATAAAAGATAAGGGTCACTGACACCTCGCTTGTACAATGACTCTTTAATTATGCAATACTTAGCGCTGATGATTCCTAATTTGCGAGCTTGCCACTTGTTCGATGGTAGTTCTCCATTAAGAATAAAATTTTTGATGGGTACCCTCCAGTCAGCCCCCCAATCATTAGCGGAAGTATTATCCTTGAATATAAACTTCCTTGGTTCAGGTTCGGAAGGAATATCAGGATCTTCGACTGTCTCCTGAACTTCTTCATCACCTGGAAGTGACTGTTCAGTTCGAGACGGTTCTTTAATGGGAACCTCTTGATCCTTTAATTTCCTTCTTGGCTTTCTTTTAGGAAGTTCCAGTGGTGGAGTAAGTTCGTCATCTTGAGACTTTACTCGTGATCTGGTGACAACAAGCGAACTATTTTCATTTCCAGAACTTAATTTTGGAGTTTCGATATGCTCGGCCTCCAAAATGTTATCGTTTCCTATTTCTTCAACTGAAATACTTCGTGAAGAAATACATTCAACTGGAATAACTCGCTTGAGCTCGGGATCTGAGGTAGAGGCTAGGGCAGCTAAAGCGTCTGCCGAAGTATTTTCTCCTCGAGGTATTCGAACTAATTCGAATTCTTTGAATTTTCCGGCTAATTTTTTGACAGCCGAAAGATAGGCTTCCATTCGAGGAGCCTTAGCTTCGTAATCTCCAGCGAACTGGTTTACAACTAGCTGAGAATCACAATAAGCTATTATTTTTTCTGCTCCAATTGCAAGAGTAAGCCGAAGTCCTGCTATGAGAGCTTCGTATTCCGCTTCATTGTTCGAAGCCGGGAACATTAATCGAAATGATTGTTCGATTATTTCCTTTGTTGGAGTTTCGAGCCTAATACCGATTCCGGATCCTTGTTTAGAAGAAGAGCCATCTACATGCAATTTCCATGTGGAGTCCGTTTCAATAAGGATTCCATCATCTAATGGTAGTTCGGTTAGAAAATCAGCCAGAACTTGTGCTTTTGTGCTAGTTCGACTTTTGTATTCTATATCGTACTCACTGAGTTCGATTGCCCATTTCGCCAATCTACCGGACTGACTTGGACCGTGAAGAATTGAGCGAAGTGGATGAGAAGTTAAAACTTCTATCGGATGAGATTGGAAATAAGGTCTGAGTTTTCTAGCAGATATGACTACTGCTAAAGCTAATTTTTCCATCATGGTATATCTCGTTTCTGGACTAGTAAGAGATTTACTTATGTAAAAAATCGGCTTTTGTTCACCTCGGTCCTCTCGAACTAAAACCCCACTTACAGAATGATTAGAAACTGAAATGTAAAGATAAAGTTTCTCATCTGACTCAGGTTTTGAGAGAACCGGCGGTGTTGTCAGATAAGTTTTGAGTTGACCAAATGCTGCTTCGCATTGATCATCCCACCGAAATATTTTGTTTCTTTTTAAAATTTGATAAAAAGGAAGACATTTATCGGTAGATTTCGAAATGAAACGATTCAACGCGGCAATTCTTCCCGTCAATCGTTGGACTTCTTTAATGTTTTGTTGGTGAAGGCATTGTGAGGAAAGCATTAATCTGATTAGGATTTGCTTTTATTCCTCTTTCCGTGACTATGTACCCCAGGAATTCTCCGGAAGGTACGCCAAAAGAACATTTAGTTGGATTTAATTTCATTCCGTACTCATTCAGAATTTTGAAACACTGCTCAAGATGAGTGATGTGCTCGGATTTCTTAAGGGATTTTACGAGCATATCATCTCATCTACATAAACTTCCATCGTTTTGCCCAAATGTTTTGCAAACATTTTGTTAACTAAACGTTGGTATGTTGCCCCAGCATTCTTTAAACCGAATGGCATAACTTTATAACAGTAGATTCCTTTATCTGTTATGAAAGATGTTTTCTCTTCATCTTCGGGATTCATCATGATCTGATTATATCCAGAAAATGCATCCATGAATGTTAAGAGTTCATTTCCGGCCGTTGATTCTACGAGCCGAATTGAAAAGGTAATATATTGGGTTCCACCAAGCGAACTAGAAGGTACATGCGTTTCAAACCTTGAAATTCATGATGTTGAGGATATTCAGATGCCATGCATTGAAGATGTGAATTCTAATTTGCATACTTCCATGATCATTGATGAATGTTATGATTTGATATGTGAGTCTCAACAACTTCATATTTTAAGAGCAGAAAAACTTGCTAGGGATTACCATGAAATATGTTTTGATATTGAATATCATTGTGCTTTGAAAGTTCATGATCTCGAGTTTAAGTTTTCAATGCCTGAAATATCTAGATCTCTTCTTGACGAATCATACTTAGGAGTTGTGCTTGATATTGATAAGATTTTGCATGAGAATGAAGATCTTGAGGTTGATTATATGGATGGAGATATTGTGCTATATGAGATTAATGGGGATGATGTTGACTATTTTGTTCAAACATCATGTAACCAGGAAATTGACTTTATTTTTCCTCCAAATGCATTTGATCCTCATGAGCATTCAACCATTAAGGAATATTTCAAAGTATATGCTACATTTGTAGTAATTTTTCTAGATGTGAATTTTATCTCTCTACCATGGATAATTGTGTGTTACTTGGCACATCTCATTTCTTGCACTAACAAGAGAAGGACAAAAGGTCCACTAGCACAACCTTTTGATTCTTATGATTAATATTTAGAGTTGAGAGGTCAAGTTTACGACCTAAAATAAGCGCTTCGTGGGAGGCAACCCACAATGTATCCCAAGTAAGTTTTCTCTTTTTCTTTTTCTTTTTCGCATTTTCGTTTTTTTTTCTTTTCTTTTGAGTGTGTATGGCATCATTTCTTCGAATTGTTTTCACACCGAGTCGGTGTGAAGCAAGTAGAGGGGAGGATGTCATTTGTCTACTAATCGAGGTTGCTTTGGTTGTTTCTTTTGATGCTTTCTCTTGAGTCGTCGAGTTCGTTTTATCGAGTCAAAATCATGTCTTTTATTGTGTCAAAATGTTGGCTCAGAACTATGATCCTTTCTTAGGGAATTGACAATGTTTGATTTTATTGCCTTTGGACCATTTTGGCATTACTCGCTGATAACTTGTAAGTTCAGGAAAATCCATCACTAGATCGCTTAATAGTAGTCCCTATCTCGTTGAAATTCGGATGAATTGAGCTTAATCTTATAATCTGGACTTAATTGATCTCACTTAGGGGCTTGCGAATCATGTAATGGATCATTCATTCAGAGTTTTGTTTGCATCATTTTTACCACTTTTTGCTAACTCTGAATGGCTAGACTCATTTTTAGTCTAGTACCACACCTGTTTCCCCCACCCATTGTTTGAAA